ATGTATTTGGATGATCTTTTCACGTCCATCATAAAGAGTCCTGCAGATTCTTAGCTTAATCGCATAGGTTCCTAATTCCAATGAGACATTACAAGTGGTATGTCAAAAGAGGATGTACAGATCATGAGTGACAGGAAGACCACCACGAGGTGTAAGAAATAAGTACTGCTGGAAATAAGGTCACACAGCACAGATAGTAAAAGAAGTGAGAATTGGAAAAACTGTTCTTTGAATTGTGACAGTCTCACTAGTAAGCAGTGGTTCAGTAAACGTTTGAAGTGATACTGGTCATTCTTCCTAACTTGAGAAGAAGGAAAGGGTGGAGTGAATGATTAGAAATGTCCTTCTAGTCCTTTCCACCCGTGAGAAGAGGCACAGAAGTCCCTGTCTCTGTGGACTGAGACATAAAGGTAAAAAGGGCAGTTGTCCCGTCTTCATGTTGATTCACAAATTGTATACAATTCTTTTAAGTAAGTAAAAGAAAGCTTTAAGAGAGTAGAGACTGTGTCCTATTCACTGTTGAGTCCTCATAGTTTATCACAGAATTTATTATTATATTTGTTTAATAAACGATTGAAGCAAGTAGATAAAACAAAGTTGAAAATTAATGGTCAGTTGGAAACTAAGATATCCTGTCTCTGAAATATTGGTAGAAAAACATGATTTTATATATGACATTTAAGAAAATGTGTCTATTGAATGAAATCAAGTGTATCCATCTACATTTTGTTTATATTCCAGAGATGTCTAGGTCAATGTGAACACCGCTGTCCAACAGGGTGGTGTATTCTTGGTGGAGAAGTCATTAGTGATGGAGCTGCCTGTCAACCTGTCGTTGCAGAATCTGTGTGACCCGTGCACCTTGACTTTGTACCCTAGTTGTTTTAAATGTGGTCCTGTTTTTTGTTTAGCTGATGCTGTTTAGTAAAACTTTGAGTACCTTTAATTTAGCTATGCTTTTGATATACCTTTTATTAAATGGAATATAATGTTGTATTTTGTAGAAAATGGCTCTCTCTACATCGTGATGGATTACTGTGAAGGAGGGGATCTGTTTAAACGAATAAATGCTCAGAAAGGCATTTTGTTTCAAGAGGATCAGGTAAGTTAGCATGTAGGAGATGACTTACTCCCTTACTGAGAAATAGTTCAAAGTTTGTTTGCTTATATATGTATTTTAAACTACAAATGCTACTTGTAATTACTAGGGCAGTTTAGTATCATATCCGTTATCTTAGTCAAGTTTCCATCTACTTGGCTCTCACCTTTGTTCAGTTCCCCATCTCACCTCCAGTCTGTAGTAATATATTGTTATTTGTGTAATATATGTTATATCCAGTGTGTGTGTGTGTGCATATATATGTCTGTGGATATAACTTAATTATGCATTATAACTGGTTAATTATTCTAAATCCTGTCAATCTTGCTTACTGCTGCCAGACAATATCTTCCTAAAATGTGGCTTTGCCGGTTAACTCCAGCTCTAAAAGCCTTCCATTGGCAACTACACTATATCTAATTTCTGTTTTGATATCAAGGATCTCTAAAATACGGCACTACCCTGCCTAAGCAGCCTTATTTTTTTCTATTATTCCCTAATCTATACTCCTCTTCATTTATTTTAATGGACGTTTATTGAGCATGTACTTTGTGTTAGGCACTGGGCCACATTTTTGTACATCTCATTCTCCTTCTTGCGTATTTATTCTGATTATTTTATTTTGGTAATACTTTCTCCCCAGCTTTCTATGTTCTACCATTTTTTAAAAAAATTCAAGTCCTAGATTCTTTAAATTTTTCATAATTAATCTTCTGTAATCTTTTCCCTCTTTAAATTCTTAACGCATTTCTTATTATCACCCATTCTTAATATTAATTGCCTACTTTTACGTAGGGGAATGGAGGGGGCACAGTTTTAAGAGTGTTGTATTTGTTGTCTCTTTTAATTCTTATAACCCCATGAATTGGTGTAGTTTTTTCTACGTAATAGATAAGGAATCTAAGAAAGGTTAAGTAACTTGCCCAAAATCACAGTCAGTGTTTGAACCTACTTCTAACTCTGAAGTTTATAA